TGAGTGACCTTACAGGATGAGCCCTTTCTTAAGATGATTTGCCGAACTGCTATTATTATGAATATGATTTGAAGGAATAACACAAAAGGGTCATTACTGACGAGCGGGTCGCTACTTAAACTTTGTTTGAAGCGAATCTAATGTAAAGATAAGTAAAATACATAATGTGGCACAAAAAGTATTGACCGCACAATGTTGCCACGGGTTAAGAAAATAAAAGTCTAAATGCAAAAGAATGGGAGGGCAGCCTTATAATGAATGAGACCAGAATTTGGGAACAAAAGGCTGCAACCCGAAATCAGAATCGCCCATGCAAGGTTCGGAAATGTTCGGTAATAACAATTTCGGGTGTACCGAATACTGAGTTAAGCAACGCGAGTAAGCAAAACAACCAAGCATGATGATTTGACAGTGCAATTTAACAAATCGATAACATGAATTGCAAAGGGTCACAGGAAAAAGCGTCGCGTGCTGATGCATTTTGACATAAGACTTTAGCACCATCGCGCCTTTCTTCATCAAAGTTGATGTAAGCTAATCCTATTGATAAATAAGCGTCTATTTCGTTTGGGTTGAACATCTTAGCTATTACCAATCCTTCAATTCCCCCCCGTATCCATTTAATAGGCGTGACTAAAGTTGTATATTTAAGACACAAGAGGTAGAATTAGAAGTTATCAAAAGTGATTGCATTCAGCAAACCCTGCCTTGGTGCCTTTTGCTCTCACAACCAGCACTGCTAAACGTAACCTATGCAAATCGGATAGTGGACGACCAACATCGGTTCCGTAACACTTTATCCAACTCCACGAGACCGATGACATTTTATATCGATGCATCCTAAACCAACAGTAGAACCATCAATTTTGGTATCGTATCGCCGGGAAACGCACGCGACGTTAATACAAGACCACTAGATGAGTCAACTGGTCAGATGTTAAGCTGATCAAATAGTATTGTCTAGACAAGGCAATCTCAGAGAGAACTGAAGCGACTCTATGGAGCACCCGCCCCTCCATGATGAACGCGATCTAGCGAAGCCTTTTACTTGATCTAAATCGTCCCAGTCAAAATCAAAACCGTGGTAATTCTTTTGAGAAATTTGGAACCCGCTCTACTGAGTGTATATAAGATAAGGAAGGAAGAACAATTGCGCAAGAATAAGTGGATCGGCCCTTCGATAGCCGGTTTTCTGGGTGTCTGTATATTTTTAGCATTACACGAGAATCTTAAGAATCTTACTACAGCACACAAGAAAACAGTTATAATTGCGTTTCCACGATAGAGCAGATAGTGAGAACCTCTGAAGAGTTTTTTATCCAGAATGATAATCAGAAGAAAGCAGTATAAACTTCTGTAATCAATGATATTCCTGTTGTGAAGATTTGATCATTTGCTTGTACGACCGAGTAAAGAATATCTTACGACATAAGCATCAAGATAAACGATGAGAACCTAATAGAAATTGATCAAAAGTAGGATCAGCTCAAAGTGACGATCAACTATGAGAGACAATTTGTTGGAAACAAGTAATTGCAGAACAGCATTAAAGTTGTAAGCTCTATCGTGAGAGGTGCAAGTTGTATGGATATAAATGCGAATAAATACATGGCAGTTATGCCTATTATGGTCTTGCATACTGTTGAATCAGCAATCGATTTTACCGTAAGTATGCAATCTCAAATCCCTAACAGACTAACTGCAAATCTATGGAAAATTATTCAAATATTTAGCAAAATCATTTTGGGGCAACTATAAAGGAGTAGTCCATTACATGATTTTGACAGCAAACGGTGTGAAAATATAGTAAGATTGTACAGCGTGACAATCTTCTGCCAATATTGCCGGAGACAGGTAACATTACAAGAATAGTATTTCCTTAAAATGTAATTCATGCACTGCTCAAAGATTGGTTGATAAAAGAAAAATCAGCCAAGGTTACCGCTGATCGCTGATCGACGCGCGTAATGAGTGGTGAGCAGATTGTCATCATGCGACAATGTAGATTAATGTAGTTTATAAAGACTAGAAATTTATTGATCGATTAACTATGTTAAACACATTTCCCTTTTTACCTTTTACTCAATCTAGTCGTTTAAGTAGATTGGCTTCCTCTGCACGTACTAGTGTACGTGAAGTTTCGTGGCACCCCAAACAATGGGTGCCCCGTTACACCTGGTAGCACTTCTTACTCCGTCCAACGACTACTTTGTGTCCGTCCAACATGAATATGTTAGACTTAAAATGCGACAGCTTTCACGTACACGTGAAGGCTACTCCAATCTGAGTAATTCAGAATGGGAGGTAGTCAGCCGCATGAGTGTGCTCATGGGCGAACCCGCCATCAGCGGCATGTTGGAGTCTCTAAGCAGAGACCAGCAACACGCCACTATCAGCAAGTTCCTACAAGAGGAACTTGCTTTCGAAAGATATAGAATAGCCTTGCTACAATAGCAAAGCTCTAATCAGTCGATGGGCGGGCCGACGCACACGCGACGACACAAAACCTTGAAGATTGATACCTCAAGGTACAAGGGAACCGATGAAGATTCCTTTTTGATATGGTCCATCGAGTTAGAGGATACCATCAGGGCCCGTCACATCGAGGGTGAAGAGATGCAAGTCACCTTCGCCCGGTCAAATTTGACGGGACGAGCAAAGACTTGGGCCTCAGGGCTCAAGCTTCACGATCCAAGCGTGTTTGAGGCGTTAAAGATCTTGAAGTCTCGGCTTAAAGAGACGTTTGAGTCGCCGAGAGCCGAGTTCAGAGCACGCTCTGCACTCTTGAGGCTAAAGCAAGGTAAGCGTAACGTGCACGCTTACGCACAGCACATGCTCTACCTTGCGAGTAGCCTCACGGAGAACCCTGTTGATGAGCACCACTCATCAACGTGTTCATCTACGGCCTTGTAGATGGACCTACGAAGACTCACATGTTCCGAGAGGACTTCCATACGCTGGAAAGGCGATTGCGTGTGCGGAACAAGAAGGCGTCAGCCTGAGACAGTATCAGGCTAACTCATCAAACTATCGTCTGACTAGACGACAGGAAACAGGAGGTCCCGAACCTATGTACCTCTGTTACATTGAGAGCGAGACCCCCCCCGCTCTCTCAGCCACAAGCGAACGGCAAGATGCCATCGCTGTCGGAAGATTGGGCACTACGCTCATGAGTGTAGTGTCCCAAGCACCGCATCACTTCCAAAGACAGGACGTGATGAGCCGGTTGGCCGAGGAAAGGTCCAAGGTACCGATTCGACCATGTCGCTAAGCCGCGACAGCAAGTCGGACCGCCAAAAAACGGTCAGGGTCAGTTGGGGCGGAGCACCTCTGATCCAGCAACGTCAAGAGAATTTGCAGGACTCTAGACGAAGATTGCTCCCAACACACAGTCGCTGTGTTTTACTTTCCCTAGTGATGAGGAGTCTCTCATCACTTTGAAGATTGTAGTGAAAAATGGAATGTCACTTCGCGCCCTAGTTGACTGTGGGGCGTCGAACAGTTTTATTCGACGCCAGTCGCTAGAGGATAGTAGACTCAACTATGTTGAGCGAGAGTTCCCTCCAACGAGTATGACGGTGTGCCTTGCTACAGGCGCATCCGTAACAGTGAACAAACGTGTAGTTGGAATGCACTACACGCTAGAAGGAAATCAGTATGATGTTGACTTTATCGTATTTGATTTGGATGACAAATTTGATGTCATCCTCGGTCTGCCATGGCTTAGAAAGTACCGGCCATGGGTTAGCTGGAAGCATCGATCCGTAAAGATGCCTGCCGTTTGTTCATCGGATGGCCATGTGATGAACGTCTTGGAGCGTCCAAAAGCGTGTGGATGTACTACGAGTGAGTGCGATGTCCTCACTTGTGATGCGGTCGTTAGTACGATTGCACAAGATCACAGTGTAGAAGGTCACTGCACTGTGGAACCAGCTTCCGGCACCTGTGTAGAGACACAGGATGCGACGAAGGCTCACCACTCGAAGAGATCGAGTGGACTGGAACACGGATGAACACCAAGAAGGGTGCATCCGAGAAGAGAGATTAGTGTTGTTCAGGATGAACAACACGCTGAAGCGAGATCGACTATCAGATAGTCGGTCGTAGAGCATGCCCGATCGCCTGAAAGAGAGTCGATCGAAGAGGACTTGACTGTGGTAGTGCAACCACAGTCAGTACACGTATTGGAAGAAAGTTCCAGCGTTCCTGAGAGTGATCACTCCCGAGAGAGTTGTGTTAAGGGTGTGTTTCCCCAACCACCTGCGGATTTGTTTTCCCAGAAAATCATCGAGACAGTGATAGTCTTGGTGAATGACGGATCAAGTGTAGGCACTTATACACTTGATCCGGTTAAACCTCTGAAGGCATCTTCGGAGCAGGTAATAATATTGCCAACTCTAGAAACGAAACGGTTCTTGCGAGATCTTCGTAGTGACAAGATCAAGCAGATTTGCGTACTCTTCACAGAGGACGAGTACGTCGTCGATATTCGGTCGGCACAAGTGTTCACTGAGAAAAAACGGGTTCTCTGTAGCTCATCGATGGATGAGAGTGTCCTCGATGAGAAGACCCCGATTGGGCGATACACGTCTGAATCTTGGGAGTCTTTGAAGACAAATTCTTTGTGTAAGGATTTGGTTGAATTCAGGATTTTTTCCCATTAATCCGTGCCATGCGAGTTGCCTGAGGACAAAGGCACTCGGCATGTGATTGAACTGAACCCCGTTTCGATATACTGTGTCATGAAGCAATGGCCACTGCCTCGTGGACATGTCACAGCGATCGACAAATTATTTGCCGACCGCTCAGCGGCTGGTAATGTGAGGGATCAACATCCCACACAGCTCTCCGACCTTCTGTGTGCGAAAGGCCAAAGGAGGGTGGCGGATAGTGCACGCGTTCAACAAAATAAGAGCTGCAAGGGTGCCGGCTCAAACGCCGATACCGAGGAAGGACGTCATCATTGATGGTGTGGCAAAAGGTACCATCTTTTTTCGTCCATGGATCTGATGGATGGATTCTATCAAATCCTCAAGCGTGAACGGGATGTCCCTTACACAGCAGTGATCACCCCCAGTGGTTTGCTCCGGGAGTGGCTAGTGATGCCACAGGGGCTAAATAACGCCCCCGCAACGTTTAACAGATGTGTTACGAATCTGTTGCGATCGGTGCAAGATTTTGCACCGAGTTACTTTGACGATGTCTTCGTCCGTAGCTGGGACATGGATGAAAAGACGGACGTTCGCGAACAACTTATGCTCTCGCATTGGAGTAACAACCTTCCGGACGTGGATTCTTTGGAGGCTCAAAGAATCCACGTCCGGAAGGTTGTTACTCCAATGCGAGAGCATAAGTTGTTTGCGAACCTCAAGAAGTTTATATTCGCAGCGAGCGAATTACCACTTCTTGGCTGCATCGTGACTAAAAACGGTCTACGCCCTGATCCGGAAAAGATCAAGGCGATTAGCGAATAGCCTGTGCCAGTAGACGTCAAGGGACTTCAAAAATTCAATGGCTTAGCGGCGTACTTGCACAAGTACTCGCGCAGCTACGCCGAGATGACCTTTCATCTCTCTCTCGTATGTTAAAGAAAAACGAGAGGTGGTCATGGAGGGCTGAGTGTCAGCAGTCTTTTGAAGGCATCAAGAAAAGCTTGATGCAATCACATGTGTTGGTGATTGCAGACCAGGACAGACCATTCCATGTGGTCTGCGCGCCAGCGATTTTGCAATCGGCTGTGCGTTAATGGAGTACGACTCAGACGGCGTTGAGCGCATCGTCTGTTATCAATCGCGTCAGCTGCAAGCAGCTAAGCGAAATTACCCGGTGCATGACAAGGAACTACTTGCCACGAAATATGCACTGGCTAAGTTTCGGGTGTATCCCTTGGGAGATAGGCCCTTCATCGTTTATACCGATTTGCGTCGTAACACAAGGCCGTAAACAGTCCACACCTCTCGCAACGAATGGCGAGATGGCTGTCTTTCTTCGCGAAGTACATCTTCTCCGTCGAGTATAAACCAGGACGACTTAATGTCGTCGCTGTTGCTCTTTCGCGTCGGCCCGATTTTGAGCCGACTGCTCAACCCAACAGTAGGGGTGATACCACTGTTGCAGTACTATAAGCGAGTCTTTCGTCATCTATTCTGATCACCGACGTGAGAAAAGCATACACAGAAGATGAGTCTCTTCTGCGATTGATGGATTACGTGTCTGACCCATGCAGTCAAGCTTTTCAAAGTTTGTCGTCTCAATACCGCTCCTCAACCGAACGGTATTCGCTTCGTGATGGAAGGCTAAACTTTGCAGCAGTCTACGGCGACACACCTCGTGTTGTCGCTCCCACTCATAATGATTTGCGATTACGCATAATGTATGAGTGTCTCGATGCTTTAACAATTGAACACCGCGGTAGAGAAACCCTCCTACCTCACGGTAAGTCGTGACTTCTACTGGTCCGCCAGTATGAGTTTGTGCGCAAATACATTCGCGCTTGCGAGTTTTGTCAATGGGTGAAGCCTAGTCCTTCATCCCGTGCACCCTTGCAGCCTCTACCAATTCTGTCAGAGTGCTGGTAGTCCGTATCGATGGACTTCGTCCTTGGTTTTCCCAAAGACGCTCACATGAACACTGGTATTCTTGTGTTTGCTCATAGGTTCAGCTAGATGGTACATTTTGTTGCTTTACTGGATTCAATCACAGCCCAGGGCTGTGCTCGTGTCTTCATCGATACTATCTTCCGACTTCACGGGTTACCCCGTGAACTATTGTCTGAAAGGGACCCCCGCTTAGCATCGGAGCTCTGGAAATCCTTGTTCCGTTCACTTGGAGCAAGGTTGAAGACGTCAACTTCTGACGATCCTGAAGCAGATGTTCCGACGGAACGCGTTAACCGCGTCCTCAAAGAGATACTTCGAGGGTACGTCCACTCGTTTATGAGTTGCAGTGAACTCTTGCTGATGGCGGAATTCTCCATCAACAACTTGGTCACGCGTCAACAAGGCATACACCGTTCTTCGTGAATGGCCTACGCCATCCACATTTACCCACCTTCTTAGAGTGTGAATCTTGTTTGGGAGGTGTAGACTCGCTCGCACGAACACCGATCTGGTTCTTGCTCACCGCACGTCGACAGTATTGTCGACGTGATGGATGCCGATGTCGATTACATCGACACCGATGACGATGATGACGAAGATGCTGGTATCTTCAGCATCGCCAATGACTGCCACAGTGAGGACGATGACGACCTCAATGGTGAAGACACCGTTCCTTCAGAAGTGCACATGAAGCGCACTGCTGTTGACAAGTATGAATCAGCAGAGGAATTTCTGCTGACTCGCGAAGTGGTTGTCCGCTTCGTTCAAGATCCTTTTGCGGATGCCATAGAAAAGCAGAAAAGAAATACAGACAAACATGGAAGAGCAAGTTTTCTTTCATTTGATGAAGGGGCCTAGTTTTACTATCTGCAGTAAATCTACCGAAACACGCAGTGACAACGTGGGCAGCGTTAAATTTACTGCCCAAGTACATTACTGCCCAAGTACATCGGTCCATTTCGTGTGTTGCGCCGAATGGGCAACGCATACATGAGTTAACTTCCTCGTAGGATGTCTACGCATCCTACCTTTTACGTTGGACGTCTCCGCCCGAACTATCATTACGAGCTCGTTTCAAGATGCGAAGAACGCTTCCGCGGCCGAGAGACGAGACCACCTTCAAATGGTCCCATTTCATCGAGCCAGTACGGTCGTCCAGCAAAGCGACCTGTTCACGCAGTTTAGCGATGTCTCGTCGAGCTGCAGTCAGACCGTCAAGAAGAGAGCGAATCCAACGTTTTTTCTCAAGTTGCGCGAATATAAATACGGCACGATCGTTCAAACGATCGTGCGCTAATGATTAGAAATCATCCCTTACAAAAGCATGGAGCTTATAGAGCCGAGTCCGTTCATGAGCCAGGTTTTCGTGTAACCGATCGTTTACACGGTTTAGTTCCTGAACATCAAGCTAATCCGACCCTCAAGCCGGATCAGGTGTTACTGCCACCACCACATCCTTTGGTGGAATCAAGCGGTGGTCAACGGTTTCTGGTGGAGCGTATTTTGAACCACCGCGACGTGAACGGCGTCTGAATGAGTCTTCTCATACGATGGCGTGGCTATCCACCGGCCTGGGACAGCTGGGAACCTCGTGCCCAGCTGCTTGTTGATATTCTGGGTCTCGTCGAGCAATACGACGAGACCCTCCCGCTGCGTTCGAAGAAGGGCCGTCGGAAAACGACCTCCCGGAACGCGAGCACAGATATTGCAAGGTTTGAACGGCCACCTCGGAAGAGATGCGCGCCCTCCAGTAGGGAACAATAGGGAGTTATGCCTCCCTAAGGGCACGATTCGGGTTTGCTCTGGCAACTTGGACACGGGTCGCCCCACGAAATACATGGTAATCCTGACTCTCTTGACAGTCGGTACAACTTGAACCGTACACTGACTTGGTTACGCTTCTCAAACCTGATGCGAGCTGCATCGAGTTTACCGAGTCAGGCCTCACGGCCAATGCACTCGATGTTGTGGATGAAGGAATTCCATCCTTGCACCAAAGCCTTGCCGTCTCGACCACGGTTGCCGTTGTACCACCGATGTTTAAAAATGCATCGGTGAAGAAATCTTCCTCAGCACCTATAGTCTCCGTGCTGGAATTAGGAGGACAGATCCTCCTACAGTCGAACAACGGGATTCAATCCCGTTCGTGGTCTTTCCGTCCACTCGATCCAGCTATTTGTATCACGGCATCCAAGGGGACTCTACTTAAGGAGCGTGGCGTAGGACATTGCGGACCTTGGCCTCTAGAGTGGTGTTAGCACGAACGCTGACACATGTGGCAGCTCGATCTCTTGAGCTGCTACTCTCGTGGTGATGCATAGGGGTATTGCCACCATCACCTCGCGTCCTATCGTCGGATGGACTTGCGTGAGGTGAGGATTCGTCGTAACAAATCGCTCAGCCCGAAGATCTCGGACAGGACGTTGCCACTTTCACCAAGGCCAGTCAACCTGGCTCTTGCAGTGTCCGCCCCGGATGATCTGGATGCGCAAGGTATCGCCTCTAAGTCTGATGCATCATCCGACTCGCCCGAATAGATGAGCTTAATTCCAGGCTCAGGTAGATTACGATTCGCAGTACCCGCTGCAGACGCAGCGGATGTATCTGTCGAACGCGGTGACTCACCACGTGGACTGTTCACAACAGGCACCACCTGTTGCTAAATTGCAACAGCAGGCGTAGAATCACTTGCTGCTAAAGAAAGCGAAGAACACTCTTCGTCTACACGCATGCGTCAATCGCCTTTCTTGCTGCTTCTGCAGGACATCGCGTAAAATTTGACACCGTGCGATAAATTAGCAAATGAGTTGGACTTCGACCAAAAACTGCTCCGCTTTCCCGGAGTGATCCAAAAGAGATTACTCTGTCTCAATCTGTTAAATACAATCATCGGGTGATTGATGGATAAGGGAGGGGTGATGAAACGGGGTAGCCCATTACATAATATTGACACCAGACGGTGTCAATCGGGAGATTGTCTACCATGACAATATCCTACCAATATTATCCGAGATGGATAATATTGAAGGAATTTTATCCCCTTTTAGGGTATTATTCACGCGCTACTAAAAGATTGGTTAGTAAAAGACATATCAACCATAGATTGACACCAATCGCTGCTAGACGCGTGCAATGAGTGGTGAGCAGGTTGTCGTCATACGACGACTTAGATTAGCACTGTTAGATAAAAATTGGAGTTACACTGATAGCTTAACTATATTAGATACAGTTCTCTTTGAGCTTAACTCAAATTAGCTGTTGAGTAGGTTAGCTTCCACTGCACGTACGAGTATACGTGAAGTTTCGCGGCACCCCAAAAAGGGTGCCTTGTTATACAGATGGGCAGCGTAAGAAGGCAATTTTCGGTTCTATAAACTACACACATGACGTACGATCTTGTGCTTTAATGAAATCTCGTGTTACTAAATGATCAGGTGACAACGATAAATGTATTCTGCGCGGTAAAGTCCGATACGAACGTCAATTACTAAAATCTGAGTAAAAAGCTGCTTCGGATGGTGAACACGGACTAGGTCGCCAAATGTTATCGTGCATGGGTTTTTTACTTTGCATCGACGTTCGGCTAGTAAAGTTTTTAAACATACGTTGTGTTTAATAATTGTAATGCGCCTGTAATTACTTGACTGGAGTTACGGTGTGGTGTAGAATGCTGAAAGTGCGGTGAAAACGACAATTCCTTATGTCAAATATTACAGTGCAGTGTTTGAGGGTGCAGCTAACGCATGATAAAATATCAAGAAGCCTTTCTCAGGTAACAGTAACCCTTTTTTATAATAGTAGACGAGATCAAGTATGTTCTGTTTCAAAAGACCGCATCGGAAACGCCTTTTTTGTATTTTTGGCAAATCCTTTCCGGTGGAATTTAAATTTGACCTAATCAACAGATTTCCTGTGCTGCATGTGATTCTCTTCCGGTTTCAAAAAATTACCGACAGGTTCTGGACTCAACCTGTGACTATGAACGACACAAACACTTTTACGAGCTAGGGCAATTTCATGGACCTTCATTTTACTAAGCAGTGGTGTGCGTCAAGATTGCCAGCCAAAAATCCCACTACTATCAACGGTTACCTGATTGGTCGTTAATGTACGTCTTTTGAAGCATATGGTGACTAAATATAGCATGAAAGATTAAGTGCACATAACTTTTGGCAACACTAATACCTTCAACTCGTCAGGACCATAAGAAACTTGAGCGGATGATCCGGGAGAACGAGAACAAAATCTAGGCTCACTGATCACACTAAACGTGGCAAGTCTGCACAAAGATCCACAAAAATTTGTGTAAGAACTCCACAAGCGTCGCTTGACGCGATAAAATCAACTTCTCATCTGCTTAAAACGTCGCCAAAGAGACCAGTATTGGAGAAATTGGTCGGCACAGCCTTCGATGACGCGACAAAGGAACTGAATCTGAAACCGTCCAAGTCGATATATTTTGACGAGGGAGGGCGATTTTTGCCTACGGGATCTGCGGATACTGAGGTGTAGTAGTGAGCGTAAGTTCCTCAGATTAATCTTATGGCTTGTCGTATCTGTCTGAGTCGGAGGAGGGGGGTCCGTCAATCTTTTAATGTATTGCTACATTGTTGAATTCAGATCCACTCTTTTCGGATTGGTACTTTGTGTCTACGCTCTTAAAAGCGTGCTCTTTTTCCTGTTACGTTTAAACATGATCACGCAGATATCTTTATATTGAGAACTGAAAAGTTGGTGTCGTGTGGGTGAAGCTCACCGATGCTGTATATCCTGAAGCTCTCACAATCTTTTTCTATTTGCGAACAATTTTATCTAAGAAGACAAGGCCAATTTTGATGAAGGCGCTGACTCTGCGAATTTTTTTAACTTGATAAACCTCGCAGGAAACTGTAGGTAAGTTTGGAGGAGCCGAAGTTGACCGTAAGTAAAAAAATACAGTCTGCAGTTGTCTGTGTGGAAGATTCACAATTTTTTGTGATTTAGGCTGATCGTTTACTCAAAACTCCGACCGTGAAGTTAATGACTTATTATATGGAAGTGGGTACGGCGTTGAGGCGGAGGCAATGTAATGATATGAGCACGAAGTGTCCCCCGGAAAAGGGTGTCCCTGTAGCATTTAGTTTTCGGTCATCAGCCTAAACATAACACTGTTTAAGTTCAGCAACACAATCCGCGATGTCTCCGGCAATCCGATTTACATTTTCATCCTAAATTGTATTTATTGATTAAAATCACATAAGTGTGTGGTCTAGAGGTCAGGTAGCTTTTATGAAGAATCCGGATAATTTCATAAACTTCATGTCAAAATTTTATCACTCAAAAAAATATCCCGAAATGTACATAATAATGTATTCATAAAAAGTGCTGCACGTGGATATTATTGTATTAGTGAAATGATTTTTTTCAGTCAACTAACTAATTCTTTCAATTCTTTTTTAGAGTATCCAGATGCAAGTGATTCACACAAAATACTACATATAATGCTGACTTCTTACATTACCCGAGTCAGTCGTTCGTCTTTTGTGACTATTATTACTTTCGACCCGATCATTTCAACCCAATCGACCGCTTTAATGATCAAAAATCACTTCGTTGATTTACTATCAAATTAAATCCCTACAAAGACATGAATACGTAAAAATTGGCTATAGAGTTAATTACACTGACATCATGTATTAGGTAATTTGTGACACCAGCTTTTTTATATTCAGCATGGAAGACTCATATTGAAATATTTAGTGTTACTCTATGAACATTAATGCGTGAACAAGACACCTCGGGCACGGCAGAAAGCATCCCGAGTGGGTTGCTCTGGGAGTGGCAAGTTACGCCAAAAGAGCTTAGCAACGCCACTACCA